AATTGTCCATTTATGGAAAAAATAAAGAAAATAAAATGAAATCTTCCATTTATGATTGCTGATATGTCAATTTTTCTTTGAACTGTTTTGCTTTATATATTGATTGGCTGTGATGTTGGCTTCTAAGAAGTTAGGATTATTTTCTTGATAAGTTATTCTTTTTATTATTATCTAATGTCTGCTTTATCCTTTGTAATGTGTTTTGGCCTTGATGTAATTACTTTGACATTATTATTGCTATAATAGTGTTGATCACAAACAAACAGCCAGATATTTCTCTAGCAAAATGGGTTTATTTGGGAGCAACAAAGAGTTACAATTTGGAAAAGGTGATCTAATGGTGAATCATGATCAAGTCCCCAGAAACAAAGGAGTGGAAACTCTTTTTTAGAGAAGAAGAGAAGGTTAGGAGAGTTATTATGAACAGAGTTCTTCCAGGTCTGCTCTGCAATCCACTTAGGGTGTGAGAGCTTGCCCTTCTTGCCTCCCAACTTCATTTTAAATGAGGTTTTTGTCTATTAATATTTACAACAGTTTTCTTTAGGTTGATATTTGCCTGGTAAATATTTTCCCATCCCTTTATTTCAATAGAGCTTTGTTTTGTAGGTGTCTCTTGTAAGCACTACATAGCTGGATTTTTTCCTTTTAAAATACTGTTAAGATGAATCTCACTGTTAAGGAATAGGTAATTGAATTCACCAATGCATTTTTTTATTGTTTCTTTTATTCCACTCTTTCCCTCTGCTAAAAAAAAAATATATATTTTATTTATTTATTTTTAGAGAGGTGAAGAGAGGGACAGAGGGAGAGAAACATCAACGCGTGGTTGCATTTTGCAGCCCCCTGCTCGCGACGTGGCCCACAACCCAGGCATGTGCCCTGCACTGGGATTTGAACTGGAGACCCTTTGGTTTACAGGCCGGTGCTCAATCCATTGAGCCACACCAGCTAGGGCTCCCTCTGCTTTTTTAAAAAAGATATTTTAATTATTTATTTTGAGAGAGAGGGGAAGGGAAGGAGAAAGAGAGGGAGAGAAACACAAATATGTGAGGAACAGATCGATCGGCTGGCTCTTGCACGCCCCCACCAGGGATCTGGCCTGCAACCTAGGAATGGAAGCGGCGACCCTTTTTATCCAGGGGAGGAGGCGCAACCCACTGAGTGACACTACTCAGGGCTCTGCTTTTTTTTTAATTGAAGGTTTTTGGGTGGTAAACTCTATTCTACGTCTGAACTATAGATATATCATCCGTGGAATGACATTTATCTGGGTTAAATTCTAACCTGAGAGTTATTTTCCCTCAATGGTTTCAGGATATAAGTTCCTAATCTTTTGTATTTATGGTTGTTGATAAGAACTCTATTAATGCTATTCTTTTGTAGAAAAATCTGTTCTCTCTGGCAGTTATTCTAGCCTTGGTATTCTAATAACTAGTTATTTTATTAATTCAATTCAGACTTTGATGTTTATCTTAACTTTGCATTTAGATGTTTCTTATCTTTCAAACTAGATAAAGAGTCACTGAATCACATTAATTTTTTTAAACTTTTATTTATTTTTACAGAAGGAGAAGGAGAAGGAAACATTAATGTGTGGTTGCATTTCGCACGCCCCCTGCTGGGGACCTGGCCTGCGACCTAAGCATGTGCCCTACACTGGGAATCGAACCTTTTGGTTTGCAGGCTGGCACTCAGTCCACTGAGCCACACCAGCTAGGGCTGAATCACATTAATTTTATTGCAGGATTTTATAGATTTTGTTCCATTGTTTTTTGACATCTATTGCAGAGGAGAAGGTTGACTTGGTATTTTTTTCCTTTGAAGATACCCTGTTTTTTCCTATAGACAATTCCTTTATTTTTATCTTTAAAGTTCAACATATTTGCCAATATTTGTAAGTTTTGTTCTTCATTTTGTCTGTTGATTTTTTCCTCTTTATAAGTGAGGATTTAAATAAGATTATTTTTTCTTTTTTAATTTTAAAATTGAGATATAACACGCATACAATAAATTGTGTAAAGCAAGTGATGATTTTTAATTTATATATGCACCACCCTTATAACCACTGACCAGACAAATAGAGTATTCCTAGTACGTGTCTAATCATTATGTTTTACATATGGAAATAATATTACATGTTAATTCTAATTGGTAAATAAAAATTTATTTAAAAAAAAATTCCTCATGTCCCTGAAGATTTCCTGATGTTGTTTTCCAATGTATTCTTTACAACAGTTGACTACTATTCTGAATTTTTGTCATTGTTGATTACTTTTGCCTTTTTTGGAACTTCATAGAAGTGGAATCAATTATATTGTATGTAGTCTTTTATGTCTGCTCAATTTCACTTAATAAAATATTTTTCTGCCCTGGCTGGTGTGACTCAGTGGACTGAGTGCCGGCCAAGAAACCAAAAGGTTGCCGGTTCGATTTCCAGTCAGAGCACATGCCTGAGTTGTGGACCATGTCCCCAGTTGGGGGCATGTGAGAGGCGATTGTTTCTCTCTCACACAACGATGTTTCTCTCTCTCCTTCCGTTCCCCTCTCTCTAAAAATTAATAAATAAAATCTTAAAAACATTTTTCATCCATGAAAGTACATCTAGCAATGGATTTATCCATGTTGTTGCAAGTATCAATAGTTTGTTCCTTTTACTGCTGTGTAATAGTCCATCATATGAAATACAATCATTTACTTATCCTTTCTTTAGTTGATAGGATTTTGGGTTTCCATTTTTTTACTACAGTGAATACAGATGCTATGAGCATTCTTGTAGATACCCTTTTGTGGACATATGCATACATAGGTGTGAATTGCTGCACCTTAAGGATGTATATATTTAGCTTTAATAGGTACTGCCAAACCAAATAGGTATTTCAAAAGTGATTATGCCCTTTTATACCTATATATATATATACCACAATGTGTGTGTGTGTGTGCTAGATGCAATGTATTCTTGTCAACTCTAGAGACTGGAGTGTGGGGTGGGGTGGGGTGAGATTGGGGGGTGGGGTGGGGTGTCTGGCTTCTTTCACTTAGCAAAATGCATTTATGATTTGCCTATGACTTTGTGTTTATATATAGTTAATTACATTTTATTGTTGAATAGTACTCTATTGTTTGGATGTACCAGTTTGTTTATCAAGTTGAAGGGCATATGAGTTGTCCCCAGCTTTTAGTGATTATAAAGAAAGTTATTATAAGCATTCATATGTTTTTTGAGTGAACATAGATATAAATTTTTATTTCTTTTGGTAAATATTTAGGAGTAGGATGTTCGGTTATATATTAGGTATGTTTGGCTTTATAAGAAACTTAAACTCTTTTCCAGTGTGGCTGTAGCAGTTTGTAGCCAGTAATACATTTGAGTCCAGTTACTTCACATTTTCACTAGCACTTGCTGTGGTAGGGATTTTTAATTTTAGCCATTCTAATGGGTGTTCAGTGTAGTCTTTTTAATTTTACACTGCATCCTTAGAGTGTACTGTTATTTGCATTTCCTTGATGAGTGATGAGTTGAGTGCCTTTTCATGTGTTTATTGGCTTCTTGTGGAGTGCAGTTGTCTTCTTTTGTTAATTTTGTATTGAATCGTCTATCTTTTTATTGACTTTGAGTTTTTTAAAAAAATGTATTCTGGAATGAGTCCTTTGTCAAGTGTATGCATTGCGGTTTATCTTTTTACTTTCTTAATGAGCTTTTTAATGGCTTTCATTTTAATGATAGCTATAGTAGGCTGAATAATGGCCCTCCAAAGATGTCCATGTCCTAATTCCTGGAAACTGTGAGTATATTACCTTACACGGCAAAAAGGACTTTGTTGCTGTGATCAAGTTAACAATCTTGAGATGCTGGAAATCACCCTCAATTATCTAGGTGAAACCTATGTAGTCATAAGGTCCTTATAATAGCAAGGGATGACAGTCAGAGAGAAAGCAACTTGATGATAGAAGCAGAGTCAGAGAAAATTTTGAAGAGGTTCTGCTGCTGTCTTTTTTTAAAAGTATTTTTTTGAAAATTTTAGTATTATTTTTAAGATTTTATTTATTTTTAAAAAGGGGCAGGGAGGGAGAGAGAGAAAGTTCAATGTGTGGTCGCCTCTCGTGGGCCCTTCACTGGGAGCCTGGCCTGCAACCCAGGCACGTGCCTAGACTGGGAACCCAAACGCCGATCACTTGCAACGCAGGCCTGCACTCAATCCACTGAGCCACGCCAACGAAGGCATGCTGTCTTGAAGATGGAAGAAGGGGCCATGAACCAAGGAATGTATAGAGGCTCTATAAGCTGAAGAAGGTAAGGAAATGCATTCTCAGAATCTCCAGAAGCAACAATGCTTTCTCGAAACCTTAATTTTAGCCAATTGAGCGTTGTGATCTCCAGATCTTTAGGATAATAAATTATTTTTGTCTCTAAATTTGTTACAGCAATAGCAAAAAATTGCTTATCTTTCATTTTATTACAATAAGCAATTTACCATTTCTTCTTTTTTTTGTTAGTACTTCTGTATCCTAGTTAAGAAACTTTTGCCTACCCCAAGCTTGTGAAATTATTACATGCTTTCTTGCAGACACTTAATTGCTTTACTTTTTATATTTAGATCTATGGTAGATCCCAAATACATTTTGGAGTATGGTGTGAGGTAAGTTCCATGTTCAAAGTTCTGCCAGGTTTCAAGGCCTTCTCGGGAACGGTTTTATTCGCTGGAATCATCCTGTGTCTCCTTCTGGAGCTTTCAGGAAATACCGCACTTAAACCACCACCCCCGGTCGACCTTCTTTGGTTATGCTCCTCAGGGTTTGTCGTTGGAGGCTCCCAGGAAGCACGCTCTTTTGATGGGAAGCCAGGCATGCGGAAAACTACAATTCCCAGAAGACGACGCCAGAGGGGGAAAAAATAATCCTGTTGAGAGGGAGGAGGGAATGGCATGAATGCTCGCGAGAGAACGAGGTTGAGGCGGCTGCGCGAAGTGGGTGGAGGGGGGTGGAGAGAGTGAGGAGGAAGAGGAGGAGGTGCCGTCCCACAATACCAGGCGGGAGGGCGGGTAGGCGGTTTGTATCCGGGCAGCGAGGTGCTCGGAGCCTCCGCGGACCTTGCTGCTTCTGTGTCTTTAACGCGAGAGGAAGCGATGCGGAGCGGTGGAAAATGGCAGAGCTGCAGATGTTACTAGAGGAGGAGATCCCGTCTGGCAAGAGGGCGCTGATAGAGAGTTACCAGAACCTGACCCGGGTGGCGGACTACTGTGAAAACAACTACATACAGGTGAGGAGCGCGGGTGGGCGCTGGGCCGACGACCCGCCGCTGGCCGCCCGAGTGACCAGCCCACTGGGCGGGGTGGGGAACTGCCCTAACCTCAGCGGCAGCTTCAGCCCCAAGCCCCAGCCGAGGACAGAGCAAGTGGCTGCTCTCTGGGAGTCGAACTGCGATACAGGAAGTGGCTGTGGCGGTTGAAACCGATTGAAGGGAGAGAGAAAATGGGCGAGAGAGTCGGGAACCCGTCACAGCCCTAGCCCCGCTGCGGGCTCGGCCCCCGAGTCGCGCTGCCCCTCCGCAGCCTGCCGTTCGCTGGGTTTCTGTCCGGAGACCCAGCTGTCGCCCCATTTCCTCTCCGTTCGGAGAGGGGTCTAGGACCAGAGAGAGAGGGGAGAGGAAAGGGCAGGGACGAGGCGCAGGGAGGAGCAGCAGAGGGAGAGGAAAAGCGGGGTGTGTGTCGGCGGAGGATGGGGTGGGGGCGATTATGTCAGTTCAACCCAGAGGGTGTGTCTTTTATTTATTTATTTCAAAAATTTGTCATGAGTCACATTACACAGACCTCCCCGAGGAGAGGAGGAAGCGAGCGGGTAGTGAGGGAAGGCGTCTAAGAGAAGTTAATCTCAAAATTCCTTTAATTGAAGGTTTGTTGTATCTGCGTGCCCGTCCGTTTTCAAGTCGGGTTTTTTCCCATCTCATCATTTTCACTTCCGTCCCCCCATAATACATGTCTAGAGATTGTTACGGCTGTCGTTATTATAAAACACAAATGATTTTTAACTAGGTAAAAAAATGCCTTTAATTCTCTCTTCCCTCAAGTTCTTGAACTCTTGGTTTCATAAGTAACTTAAAATGTAATGGTGTGATCGCCGGTTGCTTATTTTCTAAAGGTTTCCACCTTTTCAACTTAAGTAGATGTATAGAATTTGACTCCAAATTGATTACCGAACGTATATAGTCTCGAACCATAAGTAAAATATGTTATTGTTAGATTTATTAGAAAATTTTTGGAGCCTTAACTATGGCAAATAATTGTTTTTATCTTTAATGATCAAAGTGAGTTATGGTGTGGTAGTTGGGTTTGTAGATCTTGGCGTAAACCAGCAGTTTGCAGAAGCAGGAAAAGTAGCAGAGTCCTTTGTATCAATATAAGAGTACCAAAAATTTGCTTGTTAGTAAAGCATGACCAAAACATGTTTTGAAAGATCAGGGCTATTGCAATTCAGAACTAAAGTATTTATAGAAAGCCTCCCATGTGGTTATCATTTTTAAGAACCAATAGTTTCTGTGTTGGCAAATGCTTTTCCTCCTTATTTTTAGAAAGCGAGCCTGTTTTCAGAATATTTTGAATATTTCTCAATTTCCATATTAGTAACATTGTATCTTCAGTAGCTCTACTAGGAATTTATCTTATAAATTTTTTCAAGCTTCTACTTCAGGAATTTTACTGATAAACTTGTTGAATGCCTGCCACTTCTACTGTGTTTCTTGTTTTTGCAAACAATATTTAGCCTTTTAAAAATATTCTAAAATCTAGAAGTGTGGATGTAGTTTTCAAATAGAAAAGTGATTTTGTAGTTTATTGATATTACAAACATACAAGCTTTATTCAACCAACATGAAAAGCCTTAAAATTGAGGTGAATCTAAATTTGCTGAAGGTTTTAAGGATTTTGAAAATCAAAGAGAGAGTGCAGGAAGTTAAATTGCCCCCATTCCAGAAGTCATTTATAGAAATCAGATAAGTACTTGACAAAGGGTGGCTTCTTTTTGTTTTGCGTGTTGGGAAATCTGACAAATATATGGTGTGGTAACTACTAAGTATTGGCAAATGCAAACATGTTTTAACCTGTCTGGTGACTATGTCTTTTTCAGGTACTTGTCTGCTGTAAAGCTCGTGCTCGCGCGCTCTCTCTCTCTCACCACCTTCCTTTTCTCTTCCTGCTACCATCATGTAACTTTAAAGCACTTTTCGACTTACTGGTAATATCCCTAATTAAGTCATGATATTTCTTACGTAGTCTCTTGCTTTTAAATGTTAGTACCATTAGTGCTATGGTGCCAAGAGCCACCATCAGTGGCTCCATTTTTTTTTTAAGGTGGTCCTAAACTTTACACCAGTGACGTATTCTGATTTTAGTGGGGTAAAAAAGATACATGTCTGAGTAGCCTTTATTTTTATTTATTTATTTTATTGATTGTAAAAAGAGAGAGGAAGGGAGGGAGAGACAGAAAGAGAAACATCGATTTGTTGTCTCACTTATCGATTCATTCATTGGCTGATTTCTTGTGTGTGTTCTGACTGGAGATTGAACCCACAACCTTAGTGCATGGGGATGAAGCGCTAACCAACTGGGCTACCCGGCCAGGTATCTTAGTAGCCTTTAAACTTTTGGGTTGCATGATGTACTGTATATGCCTTCCTGAGGCTCAGCCAGGCTTAGAAGATGATGAAGACTTTGTGGAAGTTAATGTGGTAGCTGACTTTGTGATGTGTTGTGCTGCTAACTTTGGTGTTGTGAATAGGGAACCAAGAGTGCTAGAAGTACTTATCTGAATATCTTTTGAGATCTTTTGGTAGCCCTTCTATGACCCTTACTGAGTTATAAACAGCACCTTACATAAATATGTCTCCTCTCAGGGAAAGTATGTGGTTACTTGTGTTTTGAGAATTTTTTATACGCAAGGCGAGTTAAGTTACTGCATGCGTGATTTTCATCTGGAGACTTCAATTTTCATTTTGTTTGTTTTCCTACAGTCCAGTTAGGCTAAGGTGTTTAGCCATCAAGTTCTTTTGGCTGTAGTGCAGTTGAGTCCTCGAGTGCTTCATTAGCTCTTTGGGTCCTTTTGACTTTAATTATTAAATTGTATTATTAGTCCTGCCTGGGTGGTTCAGCTGGTTGGAGTGTTGTCCTATGCACCAAAAGGTTGCTGGTTTATTCCTGGTCAGGGCACACACATAAGTTGCAGTTTCCATCCCCCGTTGGGGCATGTGAGGGAGGCAACCAGTTAGTGTTATGGCTGTTACTCTCACATGAATGTTGTTTTCTGTCTCTGTTGCATTTTCTCTCTCTAAAATCAATAAACACATCCTTGGGTGAGGATTTAAAAAAAATTAAAATTTCCCTGGCTGGTGTGGCTCAGTGGATTGAGTGCTGGCCTGGGAACCAAAGGGTCACTGGTTGGATTCCCTGTCAGGGCAAGTGCCTTGGTTACATGCCAGGTCTCCAGTGGGGGGCTCTTGAGAAGCAACCACACATTGGTATTTCTCTCCCTCTCCCTCCATTCTCTCTAAAAATAAATAAATAAAATCTTTAAAAGAATTAAAATAAAATGTATTATTGAAAGCAAAACTTTTCTAAAATGTATACTTTCTTAAATATGACAAGATTTTTGAAATTGCTATTAGGAAATATTTAAAATAGAAAGCATTCTTTATATAAAGAAAAAATCTTTGCCTTTTTCCATCTTTCGGTTGATATGACCAGTTTGAATTTTTTTTAGTAGTTTATGTCAAGGACAGTCACTACTTAACTTGAACACACGTATTCATCTAGCCAGTTCTCTTTGCTCTATTTTAGAGTCTACAGTGCCTTTATCATGGGAACTATTTTGGGGAGTAGGAAGTGAGCTAAGCTCAAAGGAGTAGAAACTGCTTAAGAAAGGTTTCTGAGCATGCAAATTGCTGGGTTGGGTAAGGACAGAAAAGTCTTCCATACAGTTAAACTTTTTAATTTAATTTAAAAATTTGGTCTGGCATTCCCCCAATAGAGCTTTATTCGGGTTAACAAGTATATTCTTGTTATAAAGTGTAAAGGGGATCTCATTAGTGAGCGACATAGTTTATTTAGCTTGTTTTCTTTCTCTTGTGGTGCTAGCTTATGCTCATTTGCTCCTTGTGTACATTTGATCTTGGAGAGCAGGTAATTTTTGTGCAGGAGCACTGTGAAATAGATAAAAGCTAACATTTCTGGTACTGTACAATTTATACCAATTTATAAATGAAGTCAGTTATTACAATACCTTATTTATTTGACATGAGCAATTTAAGGTTCAGACATATTAAATACCCCTAACGTTCTGTATCTCCTGAGAGATAATGCCTGGAATCAAATCCAGATTTTCTGATTCTATATTCTAAGTTCTATTTAGTGAATACTGGGTAAGGTGCTTACTGTAGGATAGGGGATAAAAAAAGATGGTACGAAGAGGAGAATAGGGAAGGGAAAAGGGTGATACACAGTAATTGCTTCAATTTATTGAGTACACACTTTGTTACAGTCTCTGCTGGTTGATTTGTATTAGCATTACTCCTTACAAAAAATCTCCATGATAGGCAGTATTCTCTTACAGATCAGGAAGTTAGGGTTCAAAGAAGTTAAATGAGTTTTGTTTGATCATATAGTTAGTAATTGGTAGTCAAGATTTCTGCCCAACTCGGACAGGCTGCACAGGTTCCATGGCAATGCTCTTTTCCTGTCGCATTGACTCTAGCTGTGAATGAGTCTAGAACTCAGACTAGTTTAGAAATGTCATAGAATAAGTAGACTCTTGTTGAGCATGTCTGCTAAAACAACTATTTTACCATTGTTTCTTCTGAGTTCCAAGTTGCAAATATAAGAACTACTATGTTTATTATTTGGGGATGGTAGCTTTGGCACTTGAAATGTTGAATTGTAGGAGTCATAGGCTAGTTTTCCACTGAACTCAGTGGACCTCTTTCCTTTCTGTGCATCATTGCCTCTTTTTTTCTATTTTGATTCAGTTTTGCAATTGTGATAATAAAACTTACAATAGGATTAGTAGAAGTTAACAAAACAAAATGTTTTGAAACATTGTGATTTTTACACAAACTAGATTCCACTAAAGTTAGTCAAAATGATTTGAGGAGATTAGGACAGATTGGAAATGGTAGAATTTTTACACTTGAACTTTGAAGTGAGTAAAACAGTGGCTAGCAAAATTAGAAATATAGGTTGAAAATCTAATGAATTAAACATGGTTTTAGTAAGG